CCATCATCACTGTATTGTAACATGTATTTGGTCACCCACTGATTGTAGCCATCCATCCCCTGAGTTGCTAGGCGCGTCACTTTTGTATAACTACCCAAGTCCACTTGAAGCCATGGGTTAACATCATTAGTGAGAGCTGACCAACCTCCAACTTTGTAACCATCTGCTTGGAAATGTAACCTGGCCTGTGATGCAGAATGATTGCCATCCAATTGTGATGATGCTGTTATATGAATATCAGATATGGATCCAAATGCCATTCCAAGAGGATTTATGCAACCTTAGTTTGACAGAAATAGAATGGTGACAGTTAATAATAGACGCCATCTTTTGATTAAGAATGGCTACCTGTTCCTCTACTAAGAATCATAGTTAGAGATATTATCATTCACCACACGCAGAGTGCCACAAACAGCCTTCCCACGAGTGATTAACATCGAAAACAAGAAATGCAATTTGTCGTCTGTAAAGAAGCTCAAAAAGAAAGTCAAGCTTTGGTATTTGAATCGTCTCTGTACAAAGTAAATAAGATCATTCTAGATACCTGAACAGCCATAGATCTCGACCCTCATTGATATTCGATTGTGCCACTCAGCAGGTTTGAATCGAATATAACGCGTTATAATTGGTGGAGTCAGTGTGTCGTACACAACAGTGTCACTGTCTGTATTTCCTTTGAAAACCTTGATACAAAAACAAAAGATACTTTAACAACAAAGATGATGACTCAAGTTCTTGTTTGGAATTGATTTTTCTCAACGCCTAAGAATGAAATGCCACAGTTCTAGTTTCTTAGAGTTCGTTTTAAATTAGGAACCTTCTGATAAAGATCGTCTACCATCAATTTGATTTACTTCGATCTCCATAACCACAAATGTTTAAGCCATAATGCACAAAAGAAGAGCTCGTGAAAATTTTCTTTCTGATAACATTACGACATATAAAATTGATCTAAGTTTTTCTATTCTCAAATGAGGTTAAAAGCAAACAAATTTTGGTTGCTATGCTACTGAGAATTTTATGTATATTCGCTGGATTCCTGCAAAGTTGACGATGGAATGTTGAAATACGGCCTGGAAGTACTTAGATAACTAGAGATGAAACGAGCTTTATTTTTTAATGTCTATAGCATCAACAATATCAGACGTTTCATCACTGAAATCTGAGAAAAACTGGTTCATGATACAAACCTTCGCTGCAAAATGTCCTGGATCCTCAAAAAAATGAAGGATGTCCTCATCTTCGCCGTATTGCAGCCTGAACTTGGTCACCCACTCGTCGTGCCCATTCCTCCCGACCCGAATCTCGGTTTCCATCAAACACCTAAGTAGAACGAATGAAGATTTTAAAGAAGTATTCTATGGTTTAAATATTGTTTGAGGACCCTTTCATCTATTTCTCCTTTCAAGACACTTCGTGGTTGATATTTCATACACATCTTTAGCGCAGAAGGTAGTAGATAAGGGAAGAGATCCCTCATGTTTTAATGAACTAAATGTGAAAATCCACGGTAGTAATCTTTTTTTTTAAATGATTTGCTCTAAAATGATTTACTTCTTCGTGGAAGAATATAAAGTATAGGGCTATCAGGTGAGGTTTTACCTGTGAAATTGTTACCACACCTTTTCTGAGCTGCTGTCAAACTCCTTGTAGAAAGCGAAGGTCACACCATCATCGCTGTACTGCAAATTGTATTTGGTGACCCATTCTTTGAATCCATCTCTTCCCTGGGTCGCCACTACTGTTACCCGAGCAAAAGTGTTAAGATCCACTTGTAGCCATTGATTAAGATCATTTGTGAGAGCCGACCAGCCACCTTGCTTTTGACCATTTCTCTTAAGGTGTAGTCTGCCTTGTATTGCAGAATAGTTACCATCTACTTGCGAGGAAGCCCTTATCTGAGCATCTTCTATTGTCTGACTTTCCATTCCAAGAGCCGTCACACACGCTGCATTTGTTGTTAAAAGATCAGTGTCAGAGGTAGATACTACCCAAACTTGACACGAAAATTTCATGGAATATGAAAATTATAACCCACGCATTCACTTTATCGGATCTCCAACTCTGAGTATGAGGACGAGAGGAAACAAAGGATAAAGATTCAAACTTAAGTAGAACAGGAAAAGAAAGTCATAAAACGTTGAAAGAGTGAGTTCGATTAAACTTATTGATTCTTTGCCCTATATTTTCTGAACCATTTCTGTATATCAGAAGATTTTTCTTGAGGCTGAAAGACTGGCCCCAAAACTTCCAGCTGCCTATGAAGTCTTATTAAGCTTCTTATCTAGTTGATAATTTTCTAATGATCTTTCGGCCACTGGATTCAGAACTCCAGATTAATATTCAACATACCTGGACAACCATAGATCTCTGTCCTCATGGAGATCCTATTGTGCCAACCGTTTGGTAAAAACCGTATAAAACGCGCTGTGAGAGGAGGATTCAGATTGTTATACGCATTGGTATCACTTCCTTTATTCCCATTCAGCACCTGTAAATTGTAAGAAGCATGGAGGATTCTTGAAAGACACATACACAGCCCTTAAATTTGTATGCGTCACAGAAAACATTCAAGAAAGTACTTCCCAGTATATGCATCTTTCTAAAATATTGTCTTGTTTGAAAAGAGTATGGATTGAAAAGTAGCCTTAAGTGGCCTTGGATATTGCTCTTGTCTATCACACGGATAGGATATCTAACGAAGACATACCGTCCATTTGTTGTCACCCTGTTGCTTGTAGTACTGGAAGTTTCTTCCATCGTCACTGTACTGTAACCTGTACTTGGTCACCCACTCGTCGTTGGCATTCAACCCTTGGGTCGCCACGCGCGTTACCCTGGTATATATGCCAAGATCTACCTGCAACCATTGGTTTTTATCGTTTGTCTGAGCTGACCA